TTTACGAGCAGCGCAATATAGACGAAACAAGGTGTTCACCAGAGCCCCCTGCACCCATTGCGCTCTTCATAGGAATAATACAAATAATTTCACGATGGATATAACAGTAGTATTAACAATGGTATTAACAAAAGTATTTACAACTTTCTCCGTTTTGTATCTATCATCTCTATTTGTCCATTTAGTTTTGCTCTGTTAAATATAACAAATTAGCATCATATACAATATTATGCTATATTACATTATTATCAAGTCTTACCATCATTTCCTGCATTATTTTAATATTTTTCTTAAACTCTTCTTGCCACTTTTTATGCGTTTTGGCTTGATATTTTTTTGAGACAGAATTAAATAAACGATTACGCTTTATCCATATAAAAATAATAGATTTAGTTAGATAAATTTATAAAATATAAGGTAGAAATAACCGCAGTATGTGTTTTATCAGTACATAAACAAGAAAAGTGAAAAGTGCAAATTTGAACTTAATAAGAAAAACACACAAGCGTCAAAATAATGCTATTCTCGCTTTCATCAGAAAGTAGAGTGTATGCAAAAGATGCACACAAAGCATTTAAAAACGCAATCATCGCTTCCATCAGGAAGTAGAAGGTACATAATAGCATACAAGACGTTAAGATGACATTATCCTCGCTCCCTTTAGGAAGTAGAGTGTGCGAAAAAAGAAACACATAAATCATCTAAAAACGCCATCATCGCTCCCGTTAGAAAGTAGAAGGTGTGCAATATCTAATTAAGTTAAACAGTTGCCTGCACTTTCATGTTTATACAAGCCATCATAAATACCAGTGATATGTAAACTAACTTTTCAGAAACTTACTTCAGAAACTTACCTTTTTAATACCCAGTTTAAGTACAACGTCTTTAGCCTGTTTCAAGTTTTTTTGTGCTTCTGTGTTTAAACTATTTATTGCTTCGTTTATACCTCTAGACCATCTGTTAAACGCTTCTGTAGAATCTGTTGGCGGTGCTTCTGACTGAATCTCGCGTATCAACCATATCTCGTAATTTAATGTTAATGGGTCTTTTGAATTTCTTAGAAACCAATCAGTATATTTGTGATTAGACATCTTTGGTTTTAATTTCGGTAAAAGAAGACAGACAACGCGTAAAATTTGACATAACGCGTAAATTTTTGATATAACCGTTAAATTACATCATATACACCTTATGTGGATCAATAAAACGTGCTTTATTTTGTCGCGCATGCATAAAACATTTTTCACAAAAAATTTTATATATCATGCATCGGTTACACCATGCGATATATATAAAATAAATCGAGTAAATTTTTGCTTCGATAGAGTCACGAGGTGCTTGAGAAAAAATTGACCATATAGCATAGAGCAAATTCGATTTTATTGGTTATAAAATGATCGTCATTTATGTTGATCACTATTGTTTTACAATACGTGAACGATTCATCATCAAAAAAATTTTTAATAAGAAAAAAGTAGAGATAACGTGTACACCCTAAAACTTAGACTCTATTTTACCATATAATAAAATAAGATCCAAATAGATCCAGTAGGAATAGGATTTAAATGAGAAGTCAAAATTTTAGAGCGTAAATAGTTGAAACATTATAATAGTGGTGGTTCACTGAACTTCCAACCGATTCACTTCACGAAAGCTTATTATTCACCAAGTACTAACTTGGTTAATTGCATTTAGGAAGGCTACATGTGTGTTCTGGTTTTTATCTAGATCCACCTCTTCTATTGTATCATCATTCTCATCTGAGGTTTTTTCAAGATCTTCTTTCTCTTTAGTGGTAAGAACACTGGGACCTTTTTCTAATCTTTTTATAAAAGACTTAACATTACTAAAAATTCTGTGTTTGTAATATTCTTCACAACAATGACAACCGTAATCCATAAGTTGATAGCACTCAAAATGGTAACCATGTCCTCAAGCTAGTACTTCACCATCATCAAGTTTTTTGAGACAATAGTCACATGCATCTGGTAATGGTGGTATACTAGTACTATATGCTGTGGGAAGACATTTTGAGTTTACGGTTTCTTCTAGAGTCACTAATTTATATTTATCTTGTTTACAGAGCTTACTTTTCTTACGATTTATAAAAATTTTATGAAAATATTCTAACAAAAATAATGTTGATTTTTCTGTTAGGAAATCTAATGTTGACAGCTTATAAGGATACTGTCTTGTTTTTTCAAATACAATTTTGAGTTTACTGTAATCTTGGAAATTTAATAAAAGATGATTAATAAAATTACAATTCCATACTAGGACCTTACCATGCTTGAATTATAAGCAATAGTTATATACTAGGTTCTACGAATATAAGTAGAAATAAAATTTCTGCTTATATTCGTAGAACTTAGTGTATAACTGATTTATACCCTGTGATTTTGATATAGTGATCAGGGTATAATGAATGTTAGTATTATAGCAGGAACTTGTAAATTAGAACCTACCAATTACATAAGCCTGCTGAACAATATTATTCGCACTACTATTAGCAAAGGTATGGGACCGCAATTTACTATGCATATTTTCGACATAGTAATCATTGAAGTATACTAAAAATAATTTTATAACTTCTGCAAATGGATGATTAGTATTCTGCCAATAGAAGAGATCGGAAAGAAATACTAATGTTGCCTTGTTATAGTTTTTTCATTTCCACCTAAGAGCAAATGTCCAAATTCGAAAAATAATTTCTATCTATTCATCAAATGAACCGGATTGGAAAAGAATAGTGTAAATGTTCAATGTTGCCAGAATTATGTTATCTAACAAGTCAATGGCCATACAATATTCTATATTTTTGCAAGTAGTTCCGAATTTTTTTATTATTACATTTCTTATCTTGCACTATCCGTTATAAGCCAAATCAAAGAGCAAGTTAATTCTTCATGGTTTGGCTTCTTAGCTAATTTTTTTTTTCTCCAAATACAGAATGAAACAACTTATTAAAAAAAGTATAATAAGTTATTAATACTTGTTCTCTACTATTTAGAGAAACGTGAAGCAGCCTTATAATTGAGATAAAGGAATTTATTTCAGCTAGTATAGAGTATTGTGAATTTGATTTATTCAAATTCATTATTGCTTTACGAATAAATAGTTGCCCAGGCCAATCCACTACTATTGGTGCAACTCTGTTAGCTAAGTGTTGAATGTTACTATTAATATCCAAGATCATTTGAAGCACTAGTATATAATTATCTATGGAATGTAGGTTTCTTTCTTGAATGCTAACTAACTTTACTCCTTTCATTGATTGTTTTACTTTTTGTTCTTCGATTGCATCGTCGTAGTTATGAACTGTTAGCAAGTCAATTTGATCAAAATTATTAAAATCAGATTTCTTGTTAGTTAGCTACTGTTTCTTACGATTGGTGTAAGTAATATTGAATATTCTGTGATATGTATTAATTAACCAGAAACAGATATTACTTGCATCAATATTTATGGGGTTATGAATAGATATCCTATTAAAAATAAGAGAAACTGGTGTGCAAGTTAGAACTTGCTTACAAACACAAGTGGCTATATGTTTAGCACCTGACAATGTTGTTGTCTCTGGTTTTCTCTTTTCATGGATGTTATAATAATCATCCAGATTATAAATATATAGATAATTATTCTAATTTAAGTTGTTTAATTATTCGTTAATAATTTTTATTTTTTGGTTATTTTATTTTTAGGATTTTATAATTTTCACTTATGTGACATATTACTACTCATAAGATCATATGTAATATTAAATCAAACAACAATAATGATAATGCATTAGTTTAAGGTTAGAATCAGCATTAAATTGCAGTTAAATATAGTTTTATTAAAGCATTGCTACTCTAAAATTTGCAAGGAATTTTTTTAATAGAACGTAAGAGGTAGTTTCATAAGCAAATTTTTGAGTTGCAGACGATTCTTCTAGAAAAGATCATATTTGTTTTGATTTCACATTACACCTGCTCTTGCATTCTAATATGTCAATTAGGAGTAGCGATACATAGCTATGGTGATAAATTATATTACCCTTTTATTTTTATTTTATTTCATATTATACTTACCCATTTAGAGAAATATTCTCTAATTTTTTTAGGATGTTCATTTGCAAGTTTATGCATATAATTAAGAACTGTTTGATAGCAGGAAGAAATTCTGATATTATGCATAGTATCAATCACAGTACGTAATGCTCCTGATAACAATAAGTATAATTCAATTTCTAATTTGAAGTCGTTAACAAATTTATTTCTCATTCCTGTCATTATATAGTATAAACTTATAACAGATTTTTGTGCTTTAATTTTATTATATGAGGACCTATTATCAGGAATTAGTGCTTTGACCATTTGATCAAAGAACCCTTTTAGGCATGGATCTGACTCTTCAATCATTTGTTAAAAACGATTATGATCAAGTTCTAATTTAGAAGATTCACAATGCTTTTTATATAAAAGTGTTGTGAGTCTTTTGACTTGTTCTGCGAATGTTATATTTTTATTAATTATTTTTACTATATTTTTGTTATTTATTTTATTTGCATTTTCTTTTTCTACTAATGATTTGGGAATTTCTGATTTCTGATTTCGATCAGACTCAACAATATTTAAATAATGCTTATGGTATAATTGTTGCCCGATTGATAAATAAGTATAAGTGGCATAGGTTTCTTTCTTTTGAGCTTTTTCATATACTAGTGCAGTAAATTTGTGAAACTGACCTATTTTTGTATCACAGTTTTACATCGAACATGGGCCCTTATTTTTTGGAATCATATTAATAAATACTTAATAGATTATATATATATGTTTTTCTTGTATATGAAGCTTCAAAAAATTATAACACATTGATAGTGTGTTTATTGTCTAGTGCAAAGTAAAGAATACTCGGTATAGAGGTAAACTAAATTCTAATGTTCTTCATCGAATATTCTAGAATTTTTGGATAACCAATTAAATTATTCAATTATATATACTGTAATGTAAATAACAATCTTTTTTTTTAACCAATAAAATCGAACTTGCTCTATGCTCGACCATATAGCACATCGAGAATCTTTATTGCTAGAGATATGATGCACTTAAATATTCTTATAAAGATGATGACATTTATTGCCTTTTTCACCTCCGCTCAGTAAAAATTCCCGTATGACAATACAATGAAGATGTGTTGCAATTTGCAGATTTGTAAAAGCATTTTTACTTTTTACGATTGTCAACATATTTTTATTATTTCATTCATCAGTAATAGATCAGAACAACTCAAGAAATGAAGTTCAAATGCTACTATATCTACTTCAGAACATTCTTCTATGAACAAGTGATCTAGTTAAAAAAAGTAGATTATTGGTACTAGAATATATATTTTATATTTTTATCTTGTAGTTTGTTTTTATTTTTTATATTAATAAAGTTGGCCCTAATGGTTCGATTTTGCATATATAATCATGTTTACTTTTGCATGTGTATTTTTGAATATTATTTCAATATGAGAGTATCGATGTATATTAACTAAAAACTAGTAAACCTATATACGTTTAAAAATTTTTGTGAATCCAATCATGAATTTTATTTACAGTTTTTATAAACTCAAGCTTTTGAATAAATTCGTATCTTATATAAAGCAGATATCAAACATGCAGACTCAAAGAGGCGAATATAAAGGCTCTTCTGAATTAGATTTATTGAGACAAAAGAAATTAGACTTATAGTTAGAATCAAAGAATTAGAGCAGAGTCAGACCAAGACTGACAAACTTATAGTTAGAATTACAGAATTAGAATATGCTAAGGAAAAGAATATTAAACTTAAAGCTGAAGTAGCAAAACTAAGACATGACTTTGAGAAAATTAAACTACAGATCCAAGTTATTACTAACAAAAAAGATATACCTTCTACAGATATTTCACACTCTCTGGCAAATAAAACCACTATTACATCCAACTCTTTATCTATATCATCAGAAGATAAGAAGATTGATGAATTTATAGATTCAAAATATAAAGAAAAGGTTAGTAACAAGATAAAACAGAGAAATAGGGAGAAGCTTTAATGTCAATCGGCTAAAAGCCAAATCCAAGACTTATCATGTGATATAAAAACCATTTCCCAAGAAAATGATTATGACATAATTGAAGGTGAAATAAAAATTACTTTCCAAGTAAACAATCAACAAAAAACTATTCTAAGTTCTTTACCAGTGAAAGATTTTGATGATTCTGATGAAATTGAACTTACTAAAAATCAGAATATAGAACTGGATTTAATATAAGATTTACAAAATAGTAGTATTATTGTTTTACCTACCAAAGACATTATAGATATATGAACAAAATTTATTTATGAAAACATCTCAAATTACAACACAAA